ACTCTGCAACGACCGGAGGGCGCTCAGCCTAGGAAAGGTTCACGCTCACTGCTAGTTCCGTTCTGGAACTGTCAACGTCAGACGTGACGCTACCGCTCATCGTGTCGGGCGACGAGAGACCAGGAGTCACCCGGCAGTGGGCACTCGGTGGAGCCCACGGCTGGTTTAATTAGGGTCCTGGCACTGCGGGTGGGAGTGTTTGCTGTATCTGTGAGTAGTACATCATAAATGTTCCATTAAACCCAGCCTCAGAAGTAACCTTCTGAGGTTACAAAACTCCTCACACTGTCGCTCGTCAGGCAATTGTCGGGACGGTCACCGTCCCCGCCGGCCACCGCCGCTCCCCCGTGAGACCCAGTCCCGCTCTGAGCCACAGGACCATTCATCTGGGCTCTACTTGTGTGTGTTTCATTCCAGCAAATAAGAACAAATGCTTAACTAAGGTTCAGTGTTCTTTAAAACAGAACCTGAAACATGTGGTCCATTGTTTAAGCTTTAAATTTTAAAACTTACATTTAGCTAGTTAAAATATTAAATTCATGAATCATTAAAAAGACAAAAACTGTATGAATGGTCTTCCTTGACCATGATACTGTAGAAAACCGCTGGGCTGGAAGTTTGGAGAGCTGGGTCTTAGCCTTCTCTTTGCATCTCAGTTTTTGGAAAGTAATATACTTTTAAAAGAGTAATTTAAATTTTCCTGGGCCCCAATACGCACATCTGTCATTTAAGAACATTTTAATGATTTTAGCTTGAGTTCCACTCAACATTAAAAGGCAAACATAACATACGCTCCTGTGGTTTTAGACATCCAGGTGTGACGGCGCTTTCCCGACCCAGACGCGACCCGAGCAGCGCTGTCCCCCTGTGTTCTGCTGACCTGGACACTCCGGGGGTCCACCCCTCGGCCTCGGGCCACGTGCGAAGTGGTGTGTGTGTGTGGGGGGGGGTCTGCACCCACTTCGGTCTCAATCCGAAGTGGCTCCCATGGTTCCCTGCAATTAAGGTGGGGTTACTGGAAGAGGTATGACTCTCTCCGCTGGACACAGCATCTACAAGCGTGAGATTCCACAGGACCTTTACTTTTACGTGTATGTCACAACTGGGTGGTTTCACCTGTGTGGGTGCACCGGGATTTCTGCCCTCGATTTCCTTGTCCTGACTCGGCTCTCCCCTCTGGCAGGGACAGAGAGACCTGAAAGCCATGACCGTGGGCGCACACGCTCTGGGGTGCCTGGACAACGGACCACCCAGGAAGTGCTCCCCACTTCCACTTGGGCAGGCTGCAACCAAAGTCAGCTTCCTCCAGGGGCCTGGCCTCCCCCAGTCCAGGACTCCCTGACGACGCTGCAGGCAGCTCACCGCTCGCCAGCCCGGCGCCCTACGGCCGACTTTCCCTCCGACAGAGCCCCTCTCCTTCTTGCCCTGTGGGAAGCAGGAGAAGCAAGGGCTTCCTCGGAACACACACCCCTGATATACTCAGCTCTCTCTGCGGATGATCCCTGATTTGTACGGTTCTCCTGACCCCCGCTGCTGCCACGTGGGATACTCTGACCCGAGGTCTGCTGTGTGACAGGTGGCAAACAGGAAGGAACCTACTTTCCACAGTCTGTTTTCATTTTTTTAGATCCTCTCTGAGGACATTTTTTCATTGCTTTTAGACAGAGAGGAAGGGAGAGAGGGAGAAACACAGATTTGAGAAACATCAATGGGTTGCCTTCTGTTACACGCCCTGACTGGGGATTGAATCTGCAACCTGGGTATGTGCCCTGACCAGGAATCGAACCCGTGACCCTCTGGTCTCTGGGATGATGCTCCAAACCAACTGAGCCACACTGGCCAGGGCTGTTTTCATTTAAGATTCACTTGGAATCATTAAAAACTGCAAGGAGAATGACATAATTAGGAATTACAAACAGCTATGTGTCCCCTACTGCACAATTTACAGGATGTTTTCATATTTTATACTCTATGTAATTCTGCCAAAAATCGGGCAAATCAGGATTTATCTTTATTGTACAGACAATAAATCTTAGTTTCAGACTGCCTAAAAGCTTCCCCCAGTAACAGCAAGTCTGGGCCCGGATATAAAGTCTCTCAGCTTCAAGTCTTGCTCTGTCTCCATTGCCCCTGACAATTTTTGGAACGCACCTTCAGAAGCAACTGTTCATTCCAAGACACAGGACGCTTCCACGGAGCAGGTCCTGCGCCAGGTGCTGGTGAATTCAAAGACGGATAGGACATCTCTGAAAGCTTTCTTTCTTGTGCCAAACAGGGGAGATCATTTTAATAGCTATTTATTATAAACATATTCATTATGCTTTTCAGTTTGCTCAGAATATAATGGCTCTATTATGAGACATGAGCGGAACTTTACGGAAGCGAAGAGGGGAGGACATGGTGACTGCAGCTCACCAGAAGGAAGCAGGCATCAGCAGGGTCCCCGAGTCACTGAGAAAAGCTCTGGTCCAATCAAATCTAGCCAGAGGGGCATGTGCGGGAGCGCGGCTGCTTCTCACCTGCGGTCTGAATTCAGGTGTGTTCTTGGAAACGTTTTCAGATGCAAACACATTTCTCCAAAACCTTTGTTTCTCATTGGTAACCCTGCTAACAGTGTCCCTCTGGGTTTAGACACGACGTGATACCGGCACCTCACGCTTAACATGTTCAAAGCCAAACTCCTCGTCTACGGCGGCCGAGCTTTACTCCTCAGCTGACCTGTGACCCCACTGCCACCCCATTTCTAGGGGCCCGAGGGGAGCCCACCCATCTCCTCTTCCTTCTTCGGTAGTCACAGCTCTCAAGTCCTACAGACTCCACTCCCAAAACACCCCCTGTGTATTCTCTCTTTTTAAAAAAAAGACATGATTTGTTGTTAGAGGGGAAGGGACGGAGACAGCAATGGAGAGAAACACTGATGTGAGAGAGAAACACCAGTCGGTTGCCTCTCGTACATGTCCCGACCGAGGACTGAGCCCGCAACCCAGGCGTGTGCCCTGACGGGAATGGAACTGCTGACCTTCTGCTTTGTGGGACGACACCCAGCCTGCTGAGCCGCACCGGTCAGGGCTCTGTTTTCTCGTCCCCCAATCTCGCCTTTCAATGACATGCCCTGCCCCCTCGCCTCTTCCATCGAGCCTGCCCCACAGGACTCACCGTCGTAACACAAAGCCCTGCCACCCTACGGAGAATGGAGGCTGCAGTGGGATACCGCCCCGTGCTTAGCCCTCCTGTGGTTCTCCTCTCTCCTCCATGTCACCTCCCAGAGCTGCTGCTCAGACAGCCCCAACCGGATCATGCCTATTCGTGCCTCTCCTCCAAGGCTACCTTGCAAGGAAGACTGTGGCTGCAAACTCGTCCCCTCCCAGCACTCTCCCCGCGAGGACCCTCCTAGCTCCTCCCTCCCCTCCCCCACACTGGTTTCGTTGTTTTGCTGCGGCCTCTTCATCGGAGCGCCTACTGCACCACGTTGTCTATCTGTGAGCTCCTGAGGACAAAGAGCGCCCCCCATTGCTCATGGTGTCCCCACACTCAGCATGGCATCTGACTGAAGTGAGTTTCCCTCAACTGTATGCACTAGACCGCCCTTTCCTGAGCACCTCGACCCTCCTCTGTGGCAGGGCAAACAGAACCGAGCCCCGTGGGGCGCCTGGCCTGGGGCCATCTGGGTGGAGCTCACAGTGGTGGTCCGGGAGGCTGCGCCCGGCGTCCTGGTCGCGGGGGGCTTCACTCGGGTTTGCTGAGTGACGACACGAACGGAAAAGTCACCTTCATTCAAACGTCCTTCTGACGCCATTCTCCTGACTTCCAGTGTTGGCACAGGTGTGCGTGTGCACCGACACCTTTCACACACACTTCGGAATTGAGTGTCGTGATTTTCTCTTCATAACAAACCACAGTTAAAGAATGATGATATTTACACACACACACACACACACACACACATTCTAAGCCGCTGCAATATACAGCCTTGGTAAGTACTTTACAAAAAAACTTTTAAATATGACTTTTGAAAGGCAGGTGGACATCCTCCCAAAGGTCATGCAACTTTATCATCAGAATCAGTTTCCAGTCAGCACGGGGAGTAAACTCGTGCACTGCTTTCTCAGGAGCGTAGAGCAGAGGTGACCGCAGTGAACTGCGGCTGGTCAACAGAGGAACGGCAGGGCGGCTGCGGTCTGCACCGATGCCAAGGCAGGGAGGGGGCGGAGAACCCCCACATCTCCAAAGGGAGATGTGCGTGTGTGGGTGTGCAGGGTGTGTGCTTCTGGGAAGAACCACACTGAGGTTTGTGTTTTCCCACCTCGACTTACGGGGCCTCTTGTTTTCACACAGAAGGGCGGCCGATTGTATCTCTATCTGCCTTCGACCCGAGCCTGCCATTCACCACGAAGCAGGACAAAGGCTGCCAGAGGGATGAAAGAGACCCAAAATAGACCCTTCTGGAACTGATTTCTATCAGAGTCAGACACGGCTCGAGGCATGAAAGGGAGCGGGACAGCCCGCACTGCCACTGAAAGCAAGAGCGAAGGATGGTTCTCCTTTCCCTCCCACATCCCCCCTCTTTTCCTCGTGTCCAGCCGCTGAAAGCAAACGTTGCAGGAGGTGACGCATCGACCGACCATCGGACACTGTCGCTGCAGATGCTCTCTCTCACCCGCACGTGGCCTCCTGGCCACAGGCTGTCCCCCCTCCACTGTCCCAGAGCACCCTGTACTGTGCAAGCCACTGCCCGCTACAGGGATCACTGCCGTCCTTTCCGGGTCACATACGGACACATCAGTTACAGTCCATCCATTTCTAAACGTGCACCCTTGACGCCCTGATCTCTTTCTGCTTTTATGTTTTTCAAAACGCCCTCGACATTTGTCAACTGGGTGAGTTCCAAGCCTTCCCAACCCATTTCCATATTATTCCAGCACTCCCCACACTTTCCTCCTCTCTCACCGGCTGGACCAAGCGGCACGCGGGACGGCGGGCGGGCGCGGCGCGGCACTCACCACTGCTTGTAGTCGGCGTCGCAGTTGCAGTAGTACTTGGGGTCCGTGCAGTTGCGCTCGATGCCGCAGGCGCACTTCTGAATGCCGGGCGCGGAGCCTCCCCAGTAGTAGTGCTTCTCGTTGGCCTTGCCGACCCACCAGGTGTAGGGGCTCCCGTCTGCGAGAAAGGGGAGAGGCATGCTGAGACGGGACTAGGAACCAGCCAGGGGACTGTCTCGCTTCCCCCACCTTCCCCAGGAGCGGCGCTGCTCTCTGAGAGACCGAGTGTCCCTCACCCCTCCTCTGAAAAGCAAATGTGTCTCCGAGAGAGGAAAGTTTAATTAATTAATTAAAGATAGCAGAGGGAACTGCGAGCCCAAACGTCCCCAGCGGGATGTGCACCTCCTTCCTCGGAAGAAACGCGCACACTCGGGCCTCTGCAGCCGAGGAGTGCGCCGTGACAGGGGCCCGGGCGGGGCGCGTGCACAGGAAGGCACACGGCGCACAGGGACTCTGCGGTGCACGGCCACGCGCACGGCCGGCCACGCTTTTCTGTGAAATGACGGTCACGGAGGTTACGGAACACTAGAGTGGCGTGGGGACTTCCACTGTGTCTTAGCGTGCTCTCCCCCCCGATTATAGGTAAGGACCTCAGGTGGAGAGAGGTGAAGCGATTCTTTCCATCGCACGGCAGAGGAGCTCCCAAACCAGAGTCTGACGCTGCATCTTCCAGGACATGGTACAGTGCTCTTTGTGTATACAGCATGCTTTCCTTTATTACTTGGCTTATGACTCACTCACTCATTCAGCGGAGGGGAGAGAGTCAGGTTGAGAGCATGTTTTACCACGCGCCAAGAATGCAGAGGCGGATGGGGAGGGAAAAGAGGTCACGGAGGGAGGGTCCCTGGAAGGGCTGCGACGTCTGAGCCACGTCTGGAAGGCTGAGTGGGGGTCCCCAGGTGGACAAGGATGAGAGAGGTAAGGCCCCGGGCAAAGGCAGCAGGATGATGCAGTTCTATGTGGAAAGTGGACGCAGGAGTGTGTACGTCTACGGTGGGATACGCCTGAGAGGGGGGCACAGGAGTGGGTGGTAACAAATAGTAGGTAAAGGCCACACCACAGAAACTCTTGGTCCACGTGAGAAGTTAATTTGCACTGGTTTATTCTTGCTTTACAGTGTTTATTTCTCCCCTGTTTAAGAAGGCTGAACTTCCTCCTGTAAGGCAAGGGAAACAGATAAAGAATTTTAAGCTGGGGATTAGGATTACACTCACGGTTCACAAGAGATAGTCAGACAAAGGCAGCTTTCTGGGGGACGAAGTCAGAGCGGCCAGAGGTGCTGCTCCCAGGGGGGTGCCCGGGAGAGAGGATAGAACAGCCGTGGGAAGGGAAAGGCAGAGAGACCCGGAAGAGATGCGGGAGGTGTCGCCGGTTTGGGACTGCTGGGGTGAGGGTGGTGGGGAAGGCAGAAAGGAGGTACTGCGGGCGAATCCTAGGCTCTGGCTCGGGCAACTGTCAGGACAGCGAGGTGCGACACCGAGGGAGGCGACAGGGAGATGAGAAGTGGAGGGAAGGACACAGAAAGGATGATGAACTCAGTGCACGGAACAGGGATTGGCTATAGTCGTCTGGATTGCAGGAGCATTTTCTGGGCTGAAAATCTCATTTCAGGGACTATCAAGGTAAACTGGAAAATATTAATGGGGAGGAATATGCTTTTAAAATCCTTCCAATTCCGACAGCTGGCAGAAACAGCAAGAGAGGGAGCTGGCTGTCGTGGAGGGGGAGGAGGACGGCAGTCAGAGCCGGTAAAGGAGCAACGAGGGAAGGGCAGCCAGAAGAGCAGTGTGTTGGGCACTGGCCGACTCCACAGGCCCGCCCATGGCGACGAGGATTTACACTCTGTCTGTTACTTAATGAGACAGCTCGAAGGCTTTGTTCAGAGGAGTTTCAGGTGAAGGTTGGGGAGCAGCAGCCAGGCAGCAGCAGGCAGGGGCAGGGATGGAAGGAGGGGGCGAGGAGCCCTGAGAACAGCCTTCCCGGCAGGGAGCTGGGGAACGGCTGGAATCTCTTGGAGGCAGCGCTGGCCAGCAAGCCAGGAAGGCTAGCCAGTCAAAACCTCCGGGTGCGTGGCTGCAAGTGCATTATAATAACCCGCCCCCTCTTGCGGAAGGCCGTGCGGCCTCGCGTCCCAGCGTCTGCGTGAGTGCGGGAAATGCACATGCAGAAAGAGCCCTGCACTTGGTGAGTTACCACGCGAACGGTCACGCCATCTCAGCCAATAACAATGCGCTGCAGGGAGTGAGGGCCAGCCTGGGGCGATGTGACAACCGGGGCAGTCCTCCCCCAGACCTGCCACCGGTCGTCCTCAGGAGCAGTTCTGGTCAGGGGGGGGCGATGTACAGTCTTGCACATCTGGACTGAGGGACTGAGGTTCCGGCCTGCTCATGCTCCGAAGCTGGGAAGGAGTGATTCAGACATTCTCCTGCTTCAGTCAAATACCTAGATTTTCCACTTGTACTGACTTAATTTGCAAAAGTTACCATGCATGTAACCAAAGTTACTTTGCTGTAACCATGCATGACACCTGGATTTAAAAAATATATATATATATTTGATGTTTCTCATATATATGCATGACTCCACCTCATAAACAGCAGAGAGGGCGACTCCAGCGCCCTGCTGTGAATGGAGGAAGGAGCCAGCTCTTGGGTGGCGGGGGGGGGGGGGCAGGGGGCTGTGTTTGCTTTCTACCTGCCCCTTGTTCTGCGTCTCCCTTCCCCTTCCATAAGAGTCAAGCAGCCAACTTCTGATGCTTCCCAACGTCGCAAACACAATCAGTGAAAAACTCCTGTTTTCTTTTGATGCAGTCAAGAGTATATACACAAATAAGGCATAAAAAACCCCATTTATGGAAACTATACAATCTGAGCCGGGTCATCTGGCCTGTGGGCTACACGAGGTCTCTGCTGAGTCCATCGCTGCCCAAGTCCCAGGAGGAGGGCAGAGGTGGACGGTGTCAGGCCAACCTTGCAAAGACGCCTGGCATCTCCCAGACAAACCACCTGCCCCTGAAAGTGGAGAATTGTGACCCAGACTGGTTATGCCATCATCTGTTGCTCTGCATCTCTTCAAGATGACCTAACACTATTTTTTTTCAAAGGCATTTTGGTTACTATTATTTCTGGAAACCAGGGGCACTAGCGCACATGGTGGAAGGGAGGACACAAAGCAGACACCCGGAGAACTGGAGGTAATGGATGGCCTGGTAGGAGGCTCCCTTGCTCTGTCTGTACCCCAAATAATCAGCGAGAGTATGTATCCCAGAACCTCAGCTCCACTGGTGATTACTCCCTCCAGTGACTAGAACAATCTGACGACGCTGGAGTTTCACTATGGAGAGTGACGGTGAATTGCACAAACCAAAAGGGCTGGCTCAGGATGCCTTACACAAATCAGAGTGGCCTCAGTAGAAGAAGCAGGACGGTTAGCAGCCTGTCCTTCGGAGAAGCCCAGGAGAGGAAGTCTCACTGTCCTGGACGGTGGGTGCTCCCGTAGGAGCCCTGAGTTTGTTGGGATGCAGGCTCGGAGCTAATCTCACACTGCAGACCCTCAGTTCCCTGCAGGGAGGGGACCTTACCAGGCACCAGGACAGGGTCCAAAGGGATACACAATGACACTTTCTCTATTCACTGCAGGGAGGTGACACATGAGTGACGACGAGGTCAGGGTAGCCCAATTTCCCATTTCTTCTCCAGCCTCCCACCTCCTCCTTAAATCACAATACTTCAGTCTTATGTAGCTAATGGTCTCAATTAGGGTGAGACAGAAATCAGTGCTATTTTGCTTCCCTTCCTGGGATAAGAAGTGAAGTGCAGTGCAAAATGTGATGCTGAGCTCTTTCCACATCTGCCATGAGCAGAAGAAAGACAATCAGAAAAGTATAATCTAGGGAAAGAACAACTTACATCCTTCGTTAGCAGCACTGGCTAATTTGGTTAAATTAAATCACTCTCATTAAAATAAATCAGTCCCTGACTGGGTAGCTCCGTTGGTTGGTGTCATCCCGATACACCAAGGTTGTGGGTTGGATACTTGGTCAGGGCACATACAAAAATGAGCCAATGAGCCCTGCCCGGTGTGGCTCAGTGGACTGAGTACAAGCGTGTGAACCAAAGGGTCACCAGTTCGATTCCCAGTCAGGGCATATGTCTGGGTTGCAGGCCATGTCCCCAGTAAGGGGCACGCAAGAGGCAACCACACATTGATGTTTCTCTCTCCCTCCCTTTCCTTCTCTAAAAAAATAAATATATAAAATCTTCAAAAAACACACAAAAAAATCAACCAATGAATGTATAACCTAGTGGAACAACAAATCTGTTTCTCTTGAATAAATAAAAAATTAAAAATAAAAAAATAAATGATTAATTTGGTATTCAGCAAGAAAAGAATGATTGAATTTGCTTCAAGCGGAGAATTGCCTTATTCCAGTGCTATGCTAATGAAGTTCTAGTTTTTGTTATCAGATCATTATTTACCTGTTAATTGGCTTTGGGGGAAAGCAGTTCAAGGCGATAAAAATGAAAAGATTTTTTTAAAAGACAAGAATAAGAAGAGGCTAGAAAACAAGTAATTTAATTACCTAGTGCCAAGAGTTCAAGAACTTCGCCATCCTCAGAATGGGAAGGTTCCTGTTAGCTTTATTAAGTAGGTGTGATCACCGGGACGAGATTAGGTGATGGGGAGCCCTGCGGCGAGTTCAATGGAAGCTGAATTACCGAAGGCAGGCAGGCAGGCTGTAGTGAAGGAGCCGGACGCGGGCTGAATTAAATATAACCGCTATACTGTTCGTGCTCACTCACCATCAGGCTTTATTATCGTGAGGGGTGTATTATGGTCTGGATGACTAAACTGGCAAAGGGAGAAAGAGAAGGGGTTCCTTGTTTCCCAGGACTTAGAGAAACCACTGGGTCGCTGGTATCTTCCCAGTAACAGCGAGCTGTTCCAGAAACACACGGGCAGCTGCAGAGGGACCTCTCATGGTAAATGTGGTACCTGCCTGTGATGTGCAGAATGGGCTCTTTGGACCTCCTGGGCTGCACAAAGTAACTCAGTCGTTTTCTTAAATAAATAGTATCCCGATACACTCGACGACGGGGCCCAGTGTGGCTGCTGGGA